TATACAGACCCGGTAGGGGAACTCTTTTGTGGTTTCAGAAAGTTTCAGCGCCCAGACCCCGTAGTGTGTGTGTGAGAGAGAGTGATAGAGAGAGAGAGCAGGGGGAAGTGCTAGCAAAATGTATGCCCCAGTTGGCAGGAGGGAGTAAGAGAAAGAGTGGGAAATAGGTGGGGAGAAAGAAAGACAGACAAACAAAGAAAAAGAGAATGCGAGCGATACACAGCGACAGAGGAGAGAGAGAGAAATAGAGAGGGTGACTGCTCTATTGAAATTATGACATTGTTCTTTTCTTCAAATCATGATTCCTCCAACTCCAAAACGGAGGAAAAACGATGGTTCAACGAAAAGACATCCGCAATCTTCATTTAGATTTAGATCTAGGCTAGCCTCGAAACTAGATCAATGATTTATCTGTCTGTCTAGATCTAGACCTAGGCCATAAATTTAACAGAACCTAGTTCTACCCTGAGCCAAGAGGGCGCTGAAACTTTCCGAAATCACAAAAGAGCTACCCTACCGGGTCTGTATACTTTGTGACTTTGTTCCCGGTTACCGGGTCTGTATACACTCCCATGCTAGAAATGTTATTCGCACAGGGTGGGTGTGATACTATGAAATTAGGCTACCTTCTATTCTCACCCTGGGTGAGAATAGCGCAGGCGAGTCTTTTGGGTGTTCACCGTTATAATAGCCTCGGCCAACCAGTGAAGCGTTCACCCTGAACCACAGAATTCTACACTGTGATAACAGAATTGTAGAATTCTGTGCTGTGAACAAACGTTCTAGATCTAGATAGATCTATTACTACTGTTAGTGTTAGCCTAAAAGGGTGCAATTTTGTCTGTGGGCAGTGGAGAGAGAGAGAGGAGTAGCGCGAGAACTTCCGGGCAAAACAAAATGGCGACCCGCGTAGTTCGGCTCGATTTGGAAAGTTAAATAGCCGTAGCATCTTTGTAGACAACCAAATTAATTTTGCAGTGGCTATTTTTACGGCGAGCCATAAAGATAGCCTCCCAGTGAGTCCCAGGCTATTTTTACGGCGATCCTCGAAAAGCGACCCTACTCCGCCTCTCATGTACGCGACATGCCTCAATGTATTAGATCTAGGCCTATAGGGGCCGTTCAAAATATAAACTTACACCTCAGAGGGGAAGGGGTGTCTTTGGCTTCTGTAAGAAAAGTGTAAGATTGGGTGGGGAGGTTAACCAAATATGACACTACTGTGAGATTCAAATGTTTTGCTCATGACTGGGAAAAAATGGTAAAAGAAAAAGTGGATAAAAAATGCCAGTAACAAGACCCAGATCTGCATGATCACTGCAAATCCCCGTTGCTGGTTTTTTTTAATTTTTAAGAAGGGGGGGGGGGTTACAAATAATTTTGAAATTATGATGAAAATTCTGTAGGTGGATATCTAATTTCTTAATGTTTCCTTGTAACTTTGCAACTGTTTTGTTGATCTTTTAATGTCTTGATGTCTTTTATTTGTAAGGCACGTACCTATTGCATTGACAAGAGTCTCAATGTCTTCCACATGACTTAAACCTTTGCCAAAAGGTGGGATACCCGGGTGTGACAAACGAGGTCCAAAATCAACGTAGTCTCGACCCTGTGCCAGTGGCGGTGGGTAGTGAAGGGCTTACGGGCTTGAGCCCCTCACCCCCATCCCGTCCCCACCCCAACTCTATCCCTTAGTTAATGAAAGTTTCTTAAATAACGAAATAAGCAGTTGAAACCGTTATGATCGCACACAATGAACACACAGTTATCAGCCTGGCGGCTTGCCCGTTCATCCAATCATTGTTGTCACCGTTTACAACTATAGTAACTTAACAGCCAATCAAATGTTGTTAGGGCTCAGAAAGAATAAGCCGGTTCTCACGCCGTCTTTAATGAAACTCTTCTTGTAAAAAGGTAGAAGGCTTTTAAAAAAATAACACTGCACAGAGGGCTCACGCTCTCCCATCCCTGACAATGGGGTGAAAATTTACAACAAACTTTCCCCCAGTGACACAGATACCTACGCGCCCATTGGGCCTTTGTTAGGCGCATTCTATTTTCCGCAACAACACGACCCAATCCACCTCATAGACGGTATGTGTTTGGAGTGCTGTGTGTTTGTGCCGCTGAGATTTAACAGTTATTAATTACATCAAACCACTTTTGAGGCAACTTTTTCTTCAGATAAAAACTAATTAGAGAAATTTTTAGGTGAAACGGCTTCGTCCCCACCATCCAGAAGCTTAAATTTAACTAAGAACAAAGAGACGGACGACAGAGGTGACTCTTCTCGTTTGAATGGTTCTCAAAATGCCGTGGCTCGCCGTGAGTATAGAAAAATCATTACTGTTTTGTTCTTATTGCTTGCTTTTTGGTGGTAAAGAAGTAGAAGAAACATAATAAGCCCCACCCAAATCTTGGTCCACCCACCGCCACTGCCCTGTGTGCGAATAAAATTATTTCTTATTCGCACACCCGGTGTGAATAATATTAATTCTTATGCGCACACCCGGTGTGAATAATCACTTCCCACGGCGCACCAGCGGTGAAATTTTAGTTGCCGCGGGGGGTTCCCCGCCGGGCGCCTTATCACGTTGGGGTCACGGGGGTCAGCTCCCTGTCGCCGCTCTGTCTGGGCCGACTTAATTTTTGGTACTTTTCAACGTACAATTTTAGGTGTATCCTTGCATTTATGGTAATTCTCATAAATTTAGTGCATCCAAAGCATGCATTTCTGCTCTTGAGACTCAAAAAAGAACGGACGTTGTAACTTGTCTGGTTATTTCGTTAGACGAGCTGAAGTCGGCAGTGCTAAATTGTAAATTTTTTATGACTAGCGTAAATGAAAAAAAATCAATATTTAAAAAAGCCTCTACAAAATCTGTCGAACTTTTGGAACATGAACGACATAGTATTGGTGCAGATACTCTGAAAAGATGGTATCCGCGCGCATATAATAGAAAGCTGTAATTTTGCAACTTTATTCATCAGGCACACAATTCGCTATGAAGTAATTCCTCCAAATACAACTTTATGTGTCTAATATAATCGTGAATATTCGCATATTTTCTCGAAAGTTTATAAAAGTTACCATGAAGTTTCTCTATGAAAAGTACAAATCGATTTTAGTGCCAGAATACATCTTCAATGTAATACACGAACAGTATTTGTTACACTCCAGAAATTCCTTACTTTTCTTAAAACACTACGTCTATGTTTTGTAAGTTCACTGAATAATAGGAATGACTTCTCGTAATAGGGTTATAAGAATAATTTCTAGCTTTCCAGGGACACTGAATCAGCACCAGACTTTTCCAGCTTTATTTTTCGTTTCTATAATGACCATTTGCAATAACTGACAATGTGACTGATTTCTTTACATTCATAATAATTGTGTCCCCGCATATTTCCGACACAAAAATAAGAAGAATGAATGTGTTAGCTGTCATTTATTCCATACAAGAAGTTTATCTCTACCCATGTATTTACACGGTTTTGTGGGGTGTTTTAATCGCTTAACAAACGCAGAGTAACTTTCTCTTGTTTAATAGTAAAATAAGAGCTAACGCTGATCGTCTTTAGTTAAAAAGTGGAGATGCGCATCTTTTTTCTCTTATAATTTGACTATTACAACTAGATCTAGCACAGATTTAAGATTTCTCATGGTAAAAGACATGATATTCGTAGTCAGTTTAACACAGATTTTGGAGAGATCTGTCGTGCCTTTTTAAAATTAACAATCATTTATTCATAAGTTTGTAACTAAAATAGGACAAATTGGGTACTCTACAAACATTTGTCTAGAACAAAAACTAAGGCACAGAAATTAACCATTCTAACGCAGAATAAATCTCCAGACATTGAGCTTTTAGTACATCCGCGTAATGATTATCTGAGTGGGATGGGGAAGAAGTCATATCGTTTTAAACATAGTCAAAAATGTGAACTTCCTAACCGACACCGGCAAAGTCACTTCAGGGCTCATTAACCGCGTGACCCCGAGCCGGGGAGCTCCGGCGGGCTGCTGAGCCACGCTAACTAAAACTAACAAAATCGGGCGAAAAGTGACGCTGTGTTCTGTTCGTTAAAGTCCACGATCCATTTGTTTACATCCACAGAAGAAATCCAGAAGTCTTGATGACAACATCTAGATCTAGATCTAGACCTAGATTCTAAATACTAGATCTAGATTTCTAGTCTATTTGAAATAGGCTACACAAAGAGCAGAGATGCAACCTAACTGCAAAACATCAAATTTAATTAGGATAAAATTCAGGGGGGGCATGCCCACCTCCATCCCCCCTGAAACCCCCCTAATCTTGAATTTAACGAACGAAACTACAAAATCGCCCTAAAATCTAATCCGCCAGAGTCGAGATCGAGTTGAATTTGAATTTTTTAGCAGACCCTGACTGTTGTTTTCGTTTTCGGCCACTGTTGTTCTGAGAATAACATATGTCTCGCTATTCTCACGCGCGCGCCATTTGTGTACCTGCATGGTATTTGACTAGCACCAATAGTGACTTCATGCTTCAAAGCGTTGATCGGAGTTTTGTTTCTTCAAGACCACAGAGCACTACTAAGGTTAAGTGGACTCCGGTCCCATAGTCAGCCTTGCTTAGGGTAGATCTAATCAACTAATCTTGCCTCAGGACTAGGTATAGTATATAAAACCCTTTGGCTAAGGTATGATCAGTAATTATTACACCTGGTTATTTTTGTTTAGATTATAATATAGACCAACTATGGGCAAGTTACAACTTGCAAGTTGACCCAGTAATTGTGAGTGTACGTTGATGATTGATAAAAACAAAACTGTCTGACATCGTGAGGACTGAAATGTAGTAGTTTCCAGCCAGGCCAGAAACGATAATATATTACAAAAATAATTCAGATAGCACAGGATGTCGCAGGGTTCAGTTCTTTGGCCGGTAATTTTCACGATGTTTATTTAAGAACGCCTTTTGTCCTTATCCTGAAAAAGTATAAAATGAAATATAATTGTAAACTGATGGTACCTATTGTACGTCTTTGGAAATAAAAAAAAGACATTCCCAACTTGTTAGATCATGCTACTTTTGAAAATGTATCCTAGGGATAAATATCTGTATAAACAGTAATTATAAGCTCAGACTTGATGGGCAGGATAAATCTTAGATTATGCTCGTTGCTCATAATATATCAATATATGACTGATAAAAGTCTTCCAAACCTCAACATTTATGTTGATCCTTTTGAGAATGGCTTCATTCATATACGTGTCATGTACTCATATTTGTATGCCTATGAATGATTTTATGTATAATTATGTTTGCATTATATTAGTAATACTTCTAGTCACCTCCCCCTGTCCCTCATGCTCACTTGTTGACACATTTTGAACAAGATTTTTAAAAATTTTTTTTAAAGTTCTAAACCAAGTACTGTTGAATCTAGAGCTACCTGTCGAAGACAACCACCCACTGTTTCGAAAATAAATGGTCATCTTGGAGAGGTGCGGGATGAACAGGCTGGTTTCCGGGAAAAAACGCTCTACCACCGACAAGATTGCCACGCTGAGGATTATTGTGGAACTCTCTGCTGATCGTCAACATCCTTGACTATGAGAAAGCCTTCGACAGTATAGACAGAGCAACACTATGGAAGATAATGAGACACCACGGAATCCCACAGAAGTTGATGAGCCTCATCAAGAGCATGTACGAAGGGACAAGTTGCAGAGTTGTACATGATGGCCAACTCACAGACAGCTTTGACATCGAGACTGGTGTGAGACCTTTCCTCTTCATATTGGCAGTCAACAGGTTCATGAAGGAAACCATCAGGGGACACAGAAATGGTATACAGTGGACTCCATGGACACAGTTGGACGATCTGGATTTTGCTGACGACTTGGCACTTCTGTCGCACACCCAGGAGCAAATGCAAACAAAGACTTCAGTATTAAACAGCCTATCGGAGTCTGTTGGATTGAGGATCCACCCCGGAAAGTCAAAGGTCCTAAGGACAGATGTACAATGAAAGGAGCGCAGGTCACAATAGAAGGAAATGCACTAGAAGACATTGAATCCTTCTGCTATCTTGGGAGTATAATTGACAGAGAGAGAGGAACAAGTGCTGAAATAAAGTCCCGCATTGGAAAAGCACAGGCTGCTTTCATATCTTTGGATAGGATTTGGAAGACCAGAGATATCTCACTTCGAACAAAGCTGAGGATTTTCAATTCAAATGTGAAGTCAGTCCTGTTGTATGGATGTGAGACCTGGAACGCATCACTGACTTGCATTATAAAGAGTATCCAGGTTTTCTTGAACAAGTGTCTAAGAAAGTTACTGAGGATCAGATGGCCAGACAGGGTCTCCAATGAGGAAGTGTTAAGGAAAACAAGACAGATCCCAGTCAGAGATGAGGTAGGAAAAAGGTGGTGGCGATGGATCGGACATACTTTCAGGAAGTCAGGCAGCTGCATAACAAAGAAAGTTTGGATTGGAATCCACAGGGTAAGAGATCAAGGGGAAGACAGCATGGAACCAGGAGAAGAATCACAGAAATCGATGTACAAAAAAGTGGGAAGACATGGAACAACATCAAGAGGCTAGCCCGGGGTAGAGAAAGGTGGAAAGTGTTTGTTCATGGCCTATACCCTGGTGCAGAGTGAGAAAGGCAACGATGATTAGAGAGGTGGTCTTCTTGGACAGTGTCATTAATTAATTATAAATATGAGGGGAAAGAAGTGGGAAGTTTGGACAGGGAGCTGTCTTGGACAGGTGGATATTAGAGAAGGTACTTACTCCCTCCTCTTTGTACTTGTGGTGATACTAATATTCTGCACTCGGTCTCAGAATTATTTTATAGAACAGTGTAACTTTTTCCTCCCTCAGTTGTGTCTATACCAGTGTGCTCCCTGAGCATGGAATCTTCAAAGAAGAGAAGGCGGTCTGTGAGAAATATAAGAAGATCGTCAACTAACTTTCAAGTTTCACCAAATACCCTTGGTGTGGAGGAGAAAGCGGCTCCTGAAGAAGGGTCCTTTACCGGAAGAACTTATGGCAGTGTCTGGGTGGAGGAAAACGAATCTACTTCTGATTCATGGGGTAAGCCATAATGTGTTGAGAGAGTGCCCACAAAACTCAAAGCGAATTGCTTTACTCTGTCCAAGTACTGTGTCCTCTATTCTGTATAACTTTTTCACTCGTTTTGTCCCTTCTCTTTTGTTTCTTTTTTGCTTTAATTGGCAGGTGTAACTTGAATGAATTCCAATCAGAGGAAATATTTTGCCCTATATCCCATGGCAGTGCCACTGACTGTAGTGTCTTTAAGCCATTCCCAAAGCCCAAAAGGGGGATATTAATATGTTCTTGTACACAAGTAGAATTGTAAATAGGCTGAGTTATCAATGTCATGCTCATACTGTGCCGTAACAACATAGGGGGAACTGCTGCTTTTTCTTTCCTCCTCATCCTTTCTATTGTCATTTTTCCTCTACTTCTTTTGTATGTTTGTCACTCTCTTGTGAACTGCTATTTCCGGGGTGTCTTGATAGTCAAAGTAGACTTTGTGCTGTTGAGGCTAAAGAGGTGAGCAGAGTAAGCCTGACTCCCCATTTGGATTTCTCTGTTGACATCCACCCCTTGGCGCTCATATGACCTTATGCAGTTGCGAGCGCCATAAGACCTTACTAAAAGTAAAAAGAAATATTTTTGTCCTCTCCAGTATTTATATAATGCCCTTCTGAATACAAACTTTAGCTGACCAGTGATCCTCAGACTATTACAAATAACGTATTGGGATGCCATCAGATTTCCTATTTTTATTTCCATGGTCAGGTCGTCTCTTCCTGTTTTGATCTATAGTGCTATCGTTCATAAACCAGAGTCATCCCAGTGATTCTGTAAATGTAATGTTTTTGTACAAAAATAATCTATACTCTTTCATACAGTCTTATACATTTGGATGGGCGGTTCTGTTAACCCCTTGTAACATTCACAATCATTGCTGGTACTCCTTTGATGAAAGAAAAAAAAATTTGTCATGCAGAAACTTAAGTTAATCACTTGGATGGATATGTGATTTTTGTTGAGTTTGACCTGGATAAAGGAAGTATTTTTATTTAATTTATTTTTTCTTATTTGGTTTGCGGATTTTTCCTGGGGAGTTTTTTTGTTCTATGCAGCGGTGGATTCAGAAGCTCTGGCCCATCAGCCGGCTGCTCCCTGTTTTATTCTGACTGATTTTATTTCTCAGAGTCATCTTTGTCTGACCAGCAGAGACATTAGTTCTCTCTCTATTCAAAAGAATTGAGAGCAGTATGTAAAAAGACAGCAAAAGGAGCCATCTTGACATCATCCAAAGCATATATTGCCTGCTGTACTTGCTGAAAATCCCTCTGTGCGTTTCATTAACCTGCTGGTACTCTCTTTTGAGTCATTTAGACTTTGGGAAAATAGTGGGCCATACGCTGTATCAATTTTCCTTGTGACCTAAAATCTTGAAACATTATTTTTTGCAAAGGATATAAACATAGAGAAAAAAACTGTAAATGTAAGTGTTCTAGTCCCCCGTCAACACCCCCCATCAACACAATTTAGATCACTTAGGGGTCTGACTTCTTCGACCATATCTGTATACAAAGACGCAATGTTTTCTTAATCTTATATCATACTCTAGCAGATTTGTGGAAACTTGGAGAGCAGGGTGTGTGTACTAAACTGCATATATTATACTTTATTGTTGTTTGATTTGAATAATTAGTTGCAACTGAAATTTAGCTAATCTTACTTTATTTAGTTTAAGGGATGTAATGAAGACATGAAACTGCATTCTCCCAAACCGGTATTCATTTTTCGTTTTTCCAGTCATTGCCTTAATTTCAGTTTATGTGCTCTTCTTTTTTCCAACAGCTAAAAACTGTCTTGTCTCTTCTACCTACCATACAAAAAATGAGATGCAGAAAGAGACCTCGTCTCCTGTCACCAAAGAGGATAATCTTGGATTTCTCGTTGACATCCCTGATGTGAGTATAAGCTGGCCAGGAGTAAATCACAGTGATGGAGAAGACAGACATGGAATGCAGCCCGGCTCATCACAATTTTCACTCAGACTAGGGGAAAAACCAGAGAGTGATTCAAAAGAGAGCCTTCAAACTCAAACTTGGGTTGAAACAGATACAGGAATGCTGGAAAAACCCCCCGGTGATGCTGATGGTCTGTCCCCTGAAACAGCAATAAAAACAGGAAATGTTGATTTGAACTCTAGATTGGATGAAACATTTGTCTTGGAAAGGGGTTGGAGACCAGTAAGAACTGTTGAAAGCTTAGGTTTATTGTGTTCCATTCAGCCAATAGAGTCAAATGTGGGTCTTTCCAGCAATGCCATTTCTGGTAAGACTTCAGACAACCTGTCATATTCACACAGTTCGTCTCCCTGTGGACCATCTCATCATCTCGACTTGGTATCCACAGACTCAATTCCCCTCTCATTTGCTGATGTATCTGGACAGAGCTCACATTGTCTACCAGTTCTAGACTGTGGGGCATCTACCAGCAGCTTCTTTGTTCCGGCAGAGGCTGGGACCACTTGCTCGTCTCAATACAGTCACAATTACTCAGATTTCAGTTCACCAGAACTTTCATTAAGACTTGAAGCTTCTCTCTCAGATAGCCAAGTACCATCTGATTTGTTAGTGGCTACGAAAACCCCCACTCTGAACCAGGCAATATGCTGTGAATATGAAAGCAGCAATATGACACCTGACAGCTCAAGGAAAACTTCTTTTGAGGAAACTGATTTTGATAGTGTTTGCAGGATCACAGGTCGTGATGCTGCATATGGTGAAACAAAGAATACATTTTCACATTTTTCTGTGAGTGGTAAAGAGCAAGAACTGTCAGGTGTATCCTCAAGTTCTGAAAGTGAACATGATAAAGCTTTAACATCCTTGTCATCCACCGTTTTAGGTGCCAGTTTGACATCAGTCATTCAGGAACTCTCTCGAAAACTTCAAGCGATGCAAACCATGAACACTTGTGACATGACAGATTCAACTGCAGTCGCTGAACAAAATAACTCTGCTTACAGATCTGTTGCACACGCTGCAATTAACAAGGATGTATGTCCAGAGTCACTTGTTTGCAGTCAACAGCAGCAGCAGCCTTCCAGTCAAATTGCCATATTGAGTGCAACTGTGAGTAAGGAATCCCAGGCATGTATCGGGTTAAATGGTAATATACCTGAGAATACAGGTAGCAAAGAGTGTGAAAGCTCACTGAGAATACCTGTATCTGGGAAGAAACAGGAATGTAAAAAGAATACTAATCTGAAAGATCATAACAGGCTTTCACTGAAGAAAAATAGGACTGAAGATGGGAATAAAGAAACAAGCTGTCAAAATCCTAGTCATTTGCCAAAGCTAAAAAGTAATGTAGACTTTGATAGGGATGCAGAAATGTGTGCTGAATCTCAAGAGGTTAAGTCAGTATTGAGTGTGTGTCCTACCTCTCATGTTGCAGAGGAAAGTGATGCTCACAATTTATTGAGTTTGCCCTCTGTCTCTTCTGAGTCTACAGCAGTGAAGATCAAAAAGGGCAATGGTGTAAAAAAGCACCCTTCCAAGAATGGTCCAGTTTCTCAGAGTGCCAAGAAAAAGTCAATGGTATCCAGAGTAAAAAAGACTGCAAAGGCAAAAGGTCATAATGAAGATGAGAACGACTATCTTCGCAATGACTTCGAATTGAAAAAAGGAAATGTTGAATGGAGTAAGGATAATGGCATTGCTTTAGAAGAAGTTGAATGTTGTCCAATAGTTGTGGAACAGAACCAAGTATCTGAGTCTAAAGTTAGGAGACGGTCATCAAGGATGTTTTCTCCACTAGAAATGCCTTTTATATTCAGCTCCATAACTGATAAAACCAGTTGTGGTGAAGAAACTGTGTCTTCACCTTCAGTCTTAGTAGAAAGTTCTGAAGTTCAAAGTGACCCAGCAGCATATGTGTGTGCGGATTCAGCATCTGTTAAGATACAAGAAAGCAAACAGTGCTCTGAAGTAAAAGAGCACCATCAAGATGCTGAATCTAAAGCTAGAAGACGGTCATCAAGAATGTTTTCTTCTCGAGAATTTGTTTCTATATCCAGTCCTTCAAATAATAACACAGCTGTTGCAGGAAAGAGTTCAGCCTCATCTCCAACTGCAGATTATGAAGTCCAAAGTGATACTATGCATCCACAGACTGATTCAGCATACATTGCAGATCACCATGCAACTGAGTCTAATTTCCAACTCCAATGGGATGAAAATGGTCAGAACTTAGAAAACATTGAAAGATGTGTAAACCAACTTGGTAAAGATGTCGGTATTACAATGACGGTAGACACATCGGAGGGAGACAGACTCCCTCTGAAAGGAAAGGACAGTAATGTCATGGATGAGGTCTCTGATAATTTTCGAAGCCTTAGTATACTAAACGATTTGAAAACAAACAATGCTAAAGAAAAGGGTGTCACAAAGAGGAAAAAAAGATGCAAGTCTAGTCATGTTTTACAGCCATGTACAGATGATAAAGGCATCAGTCTTGAAAATGTTGAGGAGTCTTCTGACAACCTTTCAAAGCAAAGATCAAATGTAGTGAAAAGTGCCGGAGGTGACCACGTGGTGAGTGCTGCAGTTTCTCTTGACGCCAACAGTGCTTTTGAACAAGTTACAACTCTGCATGATTCTGCAGTTTCTGATGCTAGTGAGTTTGATAACAGTCTTGGGAATAGTGGCGCGGAATGGCAGAATGAGCTGTCCACTTCTATGATCTCTTTGTCTGTGGAAGACAATACTCCAGAAGAAGTCATGGAGTATGAACTTTTCCAGCTCACTCAGCAAGTGAACAATGTCCGCCGTTCAACGCGCGTGAGGCCAAGCAGAAAATCTTGGGATCTTTATCAGGCACCTGATACCAATAATAGAAAAAGAGTAGCTAAAAAGCTGCAGCCTTCTGCAAATACGAATGAGGAAAAAGATGGTTATGAATGTGAAGAGAATTCTGAATATGAATTCAAAAGCAGCATTACACTATCTTCAACAGAAAATTTTTATGCTGATTCTGAAGAAGAATCTGTAGGTGCTGAACTTGAAAATTTGTACAAGAACAAAAATTATGTTTTGCCAGAGAACAGGAAGAAATGGCAAACTATAAATGAAAACCCCAAAGGACCACGCTCTGTTTTCTCTGGGAAACCGACAGATCGTCATATCCTTTTTGAAGATAGGCCTTCAGATAGCAAACTTAGACAAAGGCACTCAAAAGCTTTAAAGGTTTTGCGAGGCCACCCAAAAAGGCGCATCCTGTCCAGTGCTCAATTTGAGAAGACAATGTCTAAGTTGAAAGAGCTGCTTGATTCTCCTGAGAATTAGTGATTGGTATACAAAATGTTCCCAAAGGTAGCTGTACAGTTGGTCTTTGGTGTGTAGCAAGACTGTTGTTAAGTGACTTATGTATCAGGTTGGCTACAAGTACATGTGTTTTTATCTTATTGCCAAAAGTTGGTGTTCTTTACCCTCTTTAGTACTCGGAAATTTCTTCCTCAGCACTGATGTATTTTATGTATTCCAGGAAACAGCAGTTACAGATTGTAAACTAAATGTAGAAATACCCGACAATCAAACTCGGAAGGAAATGTGATTCCAAGCCTATCAAAAACTGTGCAGCATAGAATGGTTCTTTAAGAAATATATGCAGATATTGAAGCACCCTGCAAGTGCTTACATGGACAAGCTGGATGACTTTCTGTGAACTCTGGAGGATTTTCAGTTACTGCATGTTATTTGTCTTTAAGTCTTTACTTCTCAAAAAATGTTCATGAATAGAGACATACACCCGCAAAGGTTGTTTTTTTTTAAACATCGATTTTTAGCTGAATATGTGAATCTTGGAATGTCTTAGCCTCTGTGCAAGGTCTGCCTGAATCTAAATTTGTACAAGTGTCAATGTGTACACATAGTGCCTGAGCCTTATTCTTGTAAAAGATACATTGTTCAAGAAGATTTTGTTTCTGTATGTTGCCTTATGTTTTCTTTACAATTTTTTTTTGTATGAAACACTAATATATATATCGTCCCTCAAAACACGAACTAGCGTATGCCACATTTTGTTAATTTTGCAGGAGAGAAGTTTAAAGATTTGGGCGATTTTCACTATCCCATTGTAGCGTCAAATAGCTGATTCTGCCCTTAATATTTTGACATAACATGGGTGGGCCAACTACTTTTCAATTGGCTAGAAGCATCTTAGTGAGAATAGTAGGTTTTGAAGGAAAAATTACCTTTTTGTTCGATACGCTACAACGTGCTACGTCAATGAAAGCCTCCATGTGTGGCTTACATTACTAGATTGTTGGATACGTTAGTACGTGCTTTTGTATTCTAAAGCGTATATTATACTTTATATACGTTCATTGTGTGGCTTATGCCTAAATGGTAACTTCCAAATAACAATAAAAATGCAAAGAAAGATAAATTTGGTTTAAATTCACGGGCTGTATTATCCGAGACAAATAATGTTTACAGCGACTCGGAATATGAAGGCGTCAACTGTAAATGATTTTTAAAAGTAGTAACTCGCAGTTCCATGATATTGTTCCACGAAAATGAGTCTTCTGTATCAGATCCTCTTCGTGCGTCCAGGATTCTGAAGTCCTTTGATAAGCCTTTGAGATCCAGAAAGACATTAGACTGCATCTGATTCACCTGGTAAGGCTTTTGAGGTAGAGCGAGAGACATCACTGTTGCTACCTGAGAAGGAGGGAACGAATCCCCAGCCCTCTTCAGGGCATGTCCTATTGCACGGTGTGCAGAAACACCCTCGTTCTGACAATGGTTTGTTTCAAAGAACCTCAATGAAATCTCTTCAAGATTTACACTATTGCTCACTGTATACAAAATCATCGCTGGCGTAATCGAATTTTTGTTCTGACCACTGCATCCATCGGCAAAAAGAAAAGCTTTTTTGATGCCACAGTCGTCATAAAACTTCAGGGCACGGTGGACTGTAGTTGAAATTTCCAAGGATCCACGTTTGCTTTTGCGATTCATCTCAAGTGGAGCAGTGACAATCTCTGTTAGCAATGTTATATAAAGTCAGGTTGTAGTCGACAACTTCTTTTTGTAAAAGATGGCACTCTCCTGAGACATAGGGAGGTAAATGACCTGCTGCAAATCAAAACTTACACTGAGAATGTTTTCACTTTCCTGAGGCTCTTTCTTGCACTTGCATACGTCCTTTATTTCCCTGACCTTTTTCTTTTTCTCCCACATGGATCTCAAACTTTTCCCTAAGACCTATCTTTGTTTCTTCTTTTCCTTGATGATAATTGTCACAAAGAAAGCACTGGTCTTTACTGGGTCGGTGGATTGACAGATTTTTACTTTTGAATACATAGTTGTATGTAGTGAAGATTGGTGGCCTTGTTCTGGGTATCCATTCCTGGATGAACCTGTGGTACATGTGTGTGGTACATGTGTGTGGTACATGTGTGTGGTACATGAGTGTGGTACATGTGTGTGGTATATGTGTGTGGTACATGTGCCGTTTGCTGAGTTCAGGGCCCAGATACTCTCTTGTTGATTTTTCTCTACCGTAATGAGATTCGACTTTAGGAAATCTGTCGAAGTGATCTGATATTGCTTTGCACACAAATGCATCTCTTTCTCATTCTGCCTCAGATTGTCTCCCACTTCGTTTGTCCTCAGCTATGCCAGAGGAAGTAACTTTGTTAAATGCCGTTCTGGCACTCTGTTCTGAAATGCCCAAAGAGTTAAAGAAAAACAATTATTAGACTGGAACAAAACTCTCCCCAACTGTACGCACGTACTGTCTAGTATTACTTCTTCGTGATTCGCCTTCAGTGTATTTCCTCTTTGTTTTACAGCATTTGACATGCCTCACAAGAAACTCCCGTTTCATTTTTAGATCTCTAAGGGAGTGATACGAATAAAAAATGGCCTGACTCTGTTCCTCAGTAACTGTTGAGCTTTGTTTCTTCTGCTTTGTACACGTGTCTCCTTTACATCTTGCTTTTATGTGTTTGGTGGGCAGTCTTTTTTGTCTTCATGCTTGTGTACTCTTGTTCCAAATTCCTCTTCATTTTGGATTCCTTCTGCTTGTTTGATCTGAGTTTCTCTTCCTTTCTAACTTCTTTCTCACTTCCCTCCACCATGTACTGCTCGGGAACTGATCTTTGTATTCTTCCACCCCCCTCATCAATGACTCTTTCATTTGTCTGAAACTGATCGTGAGCATCAGTGTTCACATTCACACCAACGGGAATCTTCAACTTTGAGGGCCTATCTACATCTTTTACACGTTGTATTTTTTCATTTGACCTTCTTGTGCTTTTCCCATGTTGAACACAGGATGCAATCTCTTCATTGAAATGATCAAAGCAAAGAAGGATTTCACAATCAGGACAAGCCGCCCATACTTCAGCATTGCACCTTCTGGCCTTGCATGTTCCAGGATTGAATTCTGGATCGCCATCTGAGTCGTAGTCACACACTGACATTTCATCACTGTCTGCCTCACTAAGCATTATATCAGTGTCCTTGAAGCATATACGTGTATCTATTTGTCCCTTAAAGTTCTCAGTGGCACTAGGATACCCATGACTTATGCAGTCTGTGAGTTTCAGACTTCACCAGGGTTCTGAATGTCAATCAGAGTTTGAACAGTAGGGCTACATATCAAAGAAAGAGTGGTTGTTCAGAGCGGGATCCCATTTGTAAACGAAGGACGAGTAAAAAGGGACTTCTAGAAGTGAAGTCTGAGCATTCACTGCCTCACACGAAGCACACTGCACAAGTGTGTGAGTGTGTAGTTTAGTTTGTCTTCCCGCTCTCTAGAAGCGCTGTGCGATGTTTTTTTGCCATTGGGTCTGCCCCGGCTGTGTGGCTTACGTTAGTTTGTGCCGTATAATAAAAACACAACAATGGGTCAAAGTGTACGTCATGCACTAGCGTAACCAACAGTGTGTTAGTACGTGCTGTATCTTTTTGTGGGCAAGTGGGATACGTTCAAACTGGAATCGACTATATCTCAGCTATTTATTGCTCGATTCCTACGATCTTTTGAGAGGATGTAGTATCGGATAAAGGGAATCGCTTGATTGGTATAACTCGATTTCGAGTCAGATGTGGCTTACGTTAGTATGTGTTTAGAGGGACGATATGTGGTAATTTTTCTTTTTGGGGGAGTGGGGGTGACAGAACTGAAATATATTGTATGGCCAATCATATGGAAGTATGTATTTGAGGGAAGCATTTTGATGAAATATGTACCTACTTTGCTTTTTGTGAATTGGTGATCTGAGTGACCATTGTACTTTATACTTTCTGTGCAAACATATTCACCAGCGTCATTCCACAATCGTCCAAGTCAGTTTTTAGCGATTTCCAGATAAAGCTGTTATTAGAACAAAAACATCAAAGGGCATCTTACTGGGTAGTTTCATTCTGTTTCATTATTTTTTACCTAGTTGAAAAATGACAAATGTCCTAGTGTGGTTCTGATTGGGTGCTCTCTTTTTCTTCAATGTTCTCAAAATATTTTTTAATGACCTGGGCGCTTGCGGAAGGATGTTGCCTATAATATTATACTGTACAGTCAAACATCATCATACTGCCCCCCTTGGAATGTGGGTGATGTTGGTGGAATAGCGGGGCTGGTGGTTTAACAGGACTGTACGACCTGACGCTTGATGATGATGATAAAGATCCTCTTTCTTGTCTTCACTGTCTATAATAACTTGTGTTTTCTGATGCATGTACTTAGCGCTTAGCATAAGTTAAAGATCTCTTTGTGGTGAAACTGTAGATCCCTGTTGCGGATTCTGTGTTTTTGCCCTGTTTTGTCAGCAGCATGATCTTTAACCCTCTCTGTACACCTGGGGTCATTTTGTACCCCAGAGGTTGCATTCTTCACATTTTAGAATACTTCTAGTATGAAGATCTCTTTGAAACTTTCAGTATTTCTCAAAAAATTTTGACAGACTGCTATGCAAAGCGTACGGATTTGATTAACGGCTACTTTTCCTCTTTTGGAGTTCCCCACATCGTATGGATACGATAGTAAAACACAACGTACGGATAGGGTTAATGTGTTGTAGTATGGCTAAATATCAGTTGATAATGAATTGCCTTGCATCTCTACAGCCCGCCTCTTATATTATCAAAATTGTATCAATGATGATATACAGTGGGTGTCGCATTCAATGAGGTCTCATTCAACGAGAAGTCGGCTCCAACGAGGTAATCCCCGATTTTTTTCCTCTATATATCTTTGAAAATGAACGTCAGCTCCAAGGAGGTTGCAACCAGACCAAAGTCGCTTTCAACGAGGTTGCGATAACCAAATAAAAGCAATTAACGGCCCCAAAAGCGGAGAATTTTTCTCCTTTCTCTCCTTCTCACGCGAAACACAGGGCCCATCCTCGATTCCTAACGCATTGTATTGCTAGATGATACCAGATCTAGTGTGCCTTGTGATATGGCCGCAAAAGCGAAGAAGATGGGTGAGGGTTAGCCTAGGGTTGGGTGGGAACGCGATGCGGGCTGTGTGAAACTGGATGAACTCTGTATGGGTAGGTCTAGATCGAGACCTTTTTTATTTTCAATTTTCTTTTCTTTCCCTTATCAGAAAATCCAAGCTCCAATCTTTACTTTATGTAGATTTAGGCCTAGATGTGAGAGGATGTGTTTCCACACGAGACGTGTTCCGAAGAAAAAAAATTTAAATGTAGAAATGACCGTCAGAACACAGCTCAAACACATGCACACTGATGCTGTTTGAGATTTTCGTCATCAGGGAAACAACTGTTTCAATTACTGGTATTGGTACATAGTGTAATATAATAACTTGTCTCCTTTCTTGTCTTTAGCCTTAGTCACGTTCAACGAGAGGTCGGATCCAACGAGGACAACAAGCCGGTCCGACGACCTCGTTGAATGCGACACCCACTGTAGTAATATGTGAGGGGTTGTGGTGAAATCGGGCACTAGTCAAAATAATGAAATCGAAGATACAGGCATTTTTTCCGCCAGTTTGGTCAATTTAAAAAAAATAAAAAATTTTGACTATACACCTTTTATGTCCATATTATAAAACACATTTCTATTTGAATTTGACTGAAAATAAGACATATGTAATTTCTCAGTTTTCAACGATTCTCAAGCTATTAAAGTTACCGAACTTTGGCGGCCATTTTCTCGCTAATTTTACCACTGAAACCAGGTGACTCTACCTCCTTCAATGGCAAATATCTCGACTTCTATTGAAGATATTTGGACATTTTTTTCATGAAAAGTATAGAACGTGAATAAGCTTTTATTAGGTGATACAGATAACTCCACATGACCAAAAATTGACTAGCGCCTGATTCTACTGCAGCGTGACACATTATATAGTATAGTGTATAGCAAATACATTGATAATCTTCTTTCTTTTTCTTCTCATGATAATATTAATATCTGACATCCTCACAAATAGAGCAATCTGTCAAAGAACCTCCTGGTCCAAGTTATAGTTAGGCATGTTAGTCTAGTAAGTGGTCATGGATCTGGCCATGTGGCCACTCTAAGATTAGTGAGATGCGAATTCAAACATGTTATGTGGCCATGGGTGCCCTGTTGCATAGAGGTGTGTATACCTCTGACTCTTGATTCCCCAGTCTTTTGCCTCCAGAACTTGTGCATTCTGCCATTAGTACATGCACTATCTTCAGTCTAATACAATGTACATTGTAGTACATTGTATAGTAGTATAATCCACTCCCATTCTTTTAGCTTGCTGGTTATGGTAGGGATGATGCTACATGTAGTAATACTTACATTTTCTCTTGGAAGTGGACTTGATAATAGTTTTCTCATCATAGTTCTAGAAGAAAGACTTTTTCATCTTCTTGTTCCAGCTGTCCTCCGTCCAACAACAGGGAAGACCTACCAGACCCGTTGTTATTGTTTGCATCCATAAAGAATAGATCTAACCTTCATAAAGTGATCCTCAGCCCATGTTCTTGATTTCATTACAATTCTATCAAAAGCAGCTTTACGGAGAAGGCTCACTCAATATGACAGACTTTATTCTCTTGGCTGGCCAATACATTCCTTTTTACTACATGACTACATGTATCGCAGACTCAGTCACTCAGTCCCCCCCTGGGACTTACAGCACTGCTGGATTTTTTTTCAAGGGCAGCTATATATATGATTATGATGTACTGCTGCTTGTGACCAAAAAAAAATTTCTTCCAATTTTCAAGTGTCTTTACAGTTACAGGTGGCTGGTCGCGGGTGGTTGGCGGGTGCTCTGGTGTGGTTTGCTCCTTCTTTCCTATGAAACATCTATCGTCTTTATCTCCCCTCCTTCTTTTTTATGTTTGTTACTCCCTTGTAACACCTCTAATCTTCGGCACTTATATGACCTTATTGTGTTGCAAGTGCTTTTAAAACATTCACTAAAACTAAAACAGGTGGCTGGTCAGGGAAAAGTCAAAGAAAGTACACATACCATCCCTGATGATACCTCTTCATAGTGACATACATTACATTGCTACTGGGAATCAAACCCTCAGTCTTTTATTTTTGCTGAAAGTTTAGTTCCTTTTCCCCACTCTCGAGAGGTTGCCGGTCTTTTTTTAATTTAATGAATGCCTTGTCTTGTTTCTTTGTGTTTGTATGTTCCTTGCTGGTAGACCCAACACCTTGTCTTTCCCTTATATATTATACTTATATATGTATATTCGTGTCCATCTTCTTTGCTTTTTTTTTTCAGCCATAAATTACCATTATTATGTCAGTGTGCCACATTTTAAAGTTTTTATGTGTTACTCTTGTTTTGTGCAGTAACATCTCATATTTTGGCATGATCTTAAAAGTTTTCGTTTAATTATAATTTCTAAAAATTCCTGACAAGAGCTTGTGGGTGGTTGGCGAGTGCTCTGGTGTGATTTGCTCCAACTTTCTTATT